TTCAAAGTGGAAGTATACTATTATTGTCTCCATGTAAACTACAAAAACATGACTTTGTGAAAACGGCGAGGTCATGCACATGTGTAATATAGGCTGTGTCCGAAATCTCCCACTACTCACTATATAGGGGACTATATAGTGAGCTCGCCATTTTATAGTGCTGTCTGAATGTATAGTGATGATTATTATACCCTATATAGTCCACTCAGTGTATCCCAGAATGCATTTTGAAAAGTAGTGTACAACCGATGGCCACTACCCCAAGCCCTACATACCATCATGCATTGCGCTGATCGTAAAAACGGACGGGCGACAGCAATGACGTAAACAACGGCGCCGAGAGACGATCGAGTAGTGTCCGAAAGTGGTGTTTGTATTATGCTGGTGAGCTCATGCATTGCGCTGATCGTAAAAATAGGTTATAATCATGTGTGGAGTAGAGCCAGAGCGATATATCGGCCGGCCGATATTAGGCATTTTCCAAAATATCGGTATCGGCAGTAATAATGGCCGATAAATGAATATTTAAAAAATAAAATAAAAACGGATGAAACACGCTTCAATCATCTCTCCTTGGCCTGTTATATTGAAAATGTATGTTTTACAATTTGCAGTATGATGTTATCTATTGCTAAATTATAGACTAGCTAACCACAAATCTAGCTAATGCCACTATCATCGGTATCGGATTTTAAAACCCAAAAATATTTGTATCGGTATCGGCCTTCAAAATCCGTTATCGGTCGGGCTCTAGTGTGGAGTAGCGCATTATAACAGAAACGGCCTGAAATGACTGTTAGTTTTTAAATTTTGGAGAAATAAGCTCAATATAATGTAATGTATTTATTTTAAAAAAAATCTGACAAATGATGTAATCAACGGCGCCGAGAGACGATCGAGTAGTGTCCGAAAGTGGTGTTTCTATTATGCCGGTGAGCTCACTATATAGTGCTCTACAATGGGAGTAGAGGTTTGAGTGGTCTATAGGTGCGTAGTGTTTCTTTACAAAGTGGCAGCGCCATCTACTGGCCTGGCATGACAATACAACGTTTCAGTCGTTTTCGCGGATCCGTGTTGTTGGACTACAAATTTATAAAATGTTAAATCTAGGTTCCAATACGATCATATAAAAAACTGAGAAAGTAGAGTATGGTTATAATGGTGATATCATCTGTTAAAGGATTAGGCTAGTTCACTTTTAAAAAACTTTTGCTGATAATTTACTCTCCCCCATGTCATCCAAGATGTCCACGTCTTTCTTTCTTCAGTCGAAAAGAAATTAAGGTTTTTGATGAAAACATTCCAGGATTTTCTCCATATAATGGACTTCAATGGGAACCAAACGGTTCAAGGTCCAAAAGACAGTTTCAGTGCAGCTTTAAAGTGCTTTAAACGACACCAGACGATGAATTCATTTCGTTTGTTGAATGAACCAAATGACTCGAAAAAAGATTTGTTCATTTTGATAAATGAGTTCGAATAGGAGAGTCACAAACACGCATCACAGAACAGAGCAAGGCGAGCATTTGAGCTTATAAAACTTAAACTTTGTTATTTATTTTTGAAATGAGTGATCGTTTTGCTAGATAAGACCCTTATTCATCGTCTGGAATCGTTTAAAGCCCTTTTGAACAGTTTGCACTGAAACTGTCTTTTTGGACCTTGAACCGTTTGGTTCCCATTGAAGTCCATTATATGGAGAAAAATGCAGGAATGTTTTCATCAAAAACCTTAATTTCTTTTCGACTAAAGAAAGAAAGACATGGACATCTTGGATGACATGGGGGTGAGTAAATTATCAGCAAAAGAAGTCCTTTAAGCAGAGTTTCCAGCGAGAGATTCCTGCCGGTCCTGTTCTCTCTATTGTAATTTAAATAAATCAGATTACTGAGACTCTCAGCCTTTGTCTTAACTGGCTCTAGGAGCCCCTGAGCCCAGTCGTTGAAAAGTTAGGCTGATTGGATTAGCATCTATTAGGGCTGTCACTTTACGTACAAAAATCGATTGCACAATCGATCGGACCAAACCAAAACAAGTTTTGAAAGAAAGTTTTGTGTGTTCAAGTATGCCAGAAATGCACAGATTATGTGCAATACGCTGTATTTAATATATCATGAGGACTCACGAGTTGCGTATTTGCAACTCGTACGCAACTCAGCAAAGTACTTTTTCCCCAGCAAAGTAAGCATAGAAACACGCCAAATTGGCTCGTGATTTGACATCGTAACCCGCTAAAGTTAATTTTTACCCGCATTTGGCTGGTTGGAGGGTGTTAATTTCAATCCCTGAATGTTGCACTCTTGTTTGTCATTATGCACGAAACGTCATGCCAATAAATCATCAGAAATATTGCTGACTTGCGTTCGTTCCTAATGCCTGTTAGTTGATTTGCCTATATTTGGTGTTGAAAATGGAAGCATCTTTAGACATGGAAAATCTATTTTACAATCGATTCAATGAACACTAATGTCTCAAAAATCGAACAGGATTTTTTTTCACAAAAGTGACAGCCCTAGCATATGCATTTGAATGACCCTATTATGCTAATGAGATCAGGGCTGAGGAAATTGGGATGAAATCTGAACTTCATTTGCATACTTTGTTAAGAGTTGACAACATTGTCGTCTGTACACGAAAAACACAGAGGAAAAATGTCTTAATTTTTAAGACAACATTGTCATGTAGACATACTTTTCGAAATTAACCATTTTATTATTTAAAAAAATGACATTTGAATTTTTTTTTCATTTTTTGCAGTGAATTTTTTTTTTCAGGAGTTTCACATAATAGGCTATTGTGGAAAAAACATTAATTGTCATTAATTATCTCAAAATCTTTTGTTAAAGTAATTATTAATTGATTCAATGACATCATCTTGATGGCTTTAGTCGTTAGTTATCACAGTGAATCTGATCACCAAAAGCTTTTGAATGCACAGTCTTTTATATCTTTTAACTTTTTGCAATTGTTATTCACCTACATTTCTTAATGACAGCGACATTTAGGCTAAGTATCACGTGAATCGACTCTACACATCTTTGAATGCACTATGCGCATTTATGGCATTTTGCAAAACACGAAATCACTTCCACTAAGAATGAAACGGTATCAAGTTCAATCAATCTCAACGAACTGCATCTTTATAACATCATAACTTCATATTCAGCATGAAATGACAGCGTCATCATCCCTCATACACAACACATTCACATGCAATGCCTTAAGATCCTGCAAATTAAAGTGCATGAAGCTTCAGTCGAGGACAGAGGAAGTTAAGACACCATCATCAGTGCATCGGCACCACTCCTTCTGCTCGAAACCCAAATCACAAGACGCTCAATGATATCACGCGCTGCCCAGCTGGGTCTGAGGCGCAGGGAGGCTGTACTCACATCTTTCTTGGGGATTTTCGGAGTGGTGTTTTTATATTTGGACGTCTTAAAGCGATTCATTCTGAGCTGCTGGTCGCGCGCTTGAACCTTCCGGGTGTCTCGCTGTTGTGATCCTGTGCGTTTGAATGAGTGCGTTTCTGTGACGCAGAGCTGGCGCGCGCGATACGCGTCGCTCAAACGCTGATTTACAAATCATAAACTCGCACATCGGGTCATTCAGGAAATCACGCAGTATTGTGTTATGTCTGCGAAATAATGCGAAATAAAAACGCAGTCGGTGCTTTTACTGTAATAAAGGGTTCACCTACAAAATGCTGTAGCCTATGGTCTCCATTCCAATATATATATATATATATATATATATATATATATATATATATATATATATATATATATATATGAAGAGTTCAGATGCAAAAGCCTCTAAGTGCCATTTGAAATTTTCTTCTAGAATGATCATTTTTATCAAGCTTGTATATTTAAGTTCAGTAATTTCACTTAAATGACAATGAAGATTACCTATTATTTGTTATTTAAGTGAAATTACTGAACTTACATATACAAGATTGATAAAAATCATCATTAAAGATAAAGAAGAAAATTTCAAATGGCATTTAGAGGCTTTTGCATCTAAACTCTTCATATATATATATATATATATATATATATATATATATATATATATATATATTGGAATGGAGACCATAGACCATATATATATATATATATATATATATATATATATATATATATATATAAGAAAACTATTAGGGCTTTTGTTCATTTACCATATCCTTCCCTAAAAGAAATTGAAAAATGACAAACATGTCTTTTTACCCTGTTTGGAAAAAAAATTCTCGAATTTTTTATTTCTTTATCACTGAACAATAAGCCTATTTTCTTCACTTTAGCACAAAACTTAAGTTTATCTACAATTTGTAAAGTAATACATGTTAAACATGCACAAACTGTCAAACTCTTCACAACTTCTAAATATCATTTCATTGTGTGAGCCATCACATGCAAAATTATCCATTCAGTTCAGATCACAAAATCTGTCAGACATGCATGACATGGAATGTTTATTAGCTGTTACAGTTTTTCTCGGTCACTCTGGTACATTTCTCAGATCACAACTGAAATTCTCAAACTAGCCTACTTGTACAACCACATCATTTAGTCAGTTGTGCACATCATAAAAGTAATTTCTCATTGCAAATGATTTGCACTATTTTAACCTTCTCAATCATGCTCACTCACATATTTCATAAGTAATTAAGCGAACAGTAAATACTGTAAATAAATAAACATTTCGATAGATAGATAGATAGATAGATAGATAGATAGATAGATAGATAGATAGATAGATAGATAGATAGATAGATAGATAGATAGATAGATAGATAGATAGATAGATAGATAGATAGATAGATAGATAGATAGATAGATAGATAGATAGATAGATCAGCAACAAATCATAAACAACATATGCACGAGCCCGTCCACTCTATTTCAGTTCACATGCGTCCATAAACAAATGCCCAGGCTAACCAAGAATCTGCCTTTATACAGTAATGCGCATGCGTGTGCCGGTCTGCAGTGCACATGCGCAGTCGCTCTTGTCAGTGAGTTGAGTAGCCAAGATGGCGTGTTCCGCGGCTCGCAGCTCCGCACGCTGGATCACTGTGGCCGTGTCCTGCAGCCACACACGGGCCTGCTCACCCTTCATCTCCGGGGCGCATGACGCCTACAGGCGCGTCTCGACGCTGTCGGGCCGGCAGCTCTGGGCAACGCGCGTCGGGGTTGCTGGAGGAGCCGGGAGCGCGGTGACATTGAGAGGCATGACAGGTGAGAGAGAAGGCCTGGGCATCCAACTGCATATTACAAACTACTAACTCTGCGTTTACAAATCAGGTCCGAGCTGATCGATATAGATTCAGCTTCATATGTTTAGATGACATGATGATGTGTTACCATATACGTTGCAACATGTAGGTCAGAAAGCAAACATGGATCACTGATCAATACATGCACATAATCACATTGATCAAGAACTACCTAATCGATAATGTGCCAATAAGAGTTTGGATTTGATGTGAAATCAGAGACCTGGTTTGGCTCAGTTTCCAGAAACTTCTCTGACCTTGTTGTAGTTCAGCACTGACTTTCAGCTGGACTAATAAACACACTTTACGAGTCTACATAATAGTAAAATATCCCCTACAAAATATCCCTTACTAATGATAGTTCTGTTTTGCTAAGTTTTACAATGGCAGATCTCTGTTTCCAATGGGTTGCTTAAAAAGGACCTGACCTGAAGCTGGTATTTGTTGTAAAAATGCTGTATGTTACAGTAGTAAAACCATAGTAAATAATTGTAATTATAGTATTGTGTGTCATCACAGCCGTGGGCCCTTCTTCTTCTCATCTCACGTCCAAGATGTCGTTCCACACCAGCTCTCCTGCTAGAAAACAGGACTTCTACCAGATCTTAGGAGTCCCACGCTCTGCAACACAGAAGGAGATTAAGAAAGCTTATTACCAGGTAAAACACCTGACTAGTGAGAACCTGGGGTATTCAGGTATCTCTTTTCTGGGATTTAACTATAGAAATGTTAAATAGCTTTTTTGGGGGTAAAATTAGACTATATAATCACTGGAGTGAAGTGGGACAACTAGCCCCGGTGTAATTTCTAGCTTCGTTCTTTCCCCATTCAGATGGCAAAGAAGTATCATCCAGACACTAACAAGGAAGACCCTCAAGCTAAGGAAAAGTTTGCACAGCTGGCTGAAGCCTACGAGGTTTGAAGCGTGTCTCTATGAAAGCTTGTTGTGATATCTGAGTCCGGCTGAAATAATGCGCTGATGTTTTGTGGTCAGGTGCTCAGTGACGAGGGGAAGAGGAAACAGTACGACACGTACGGCTCCGCCGGGTTCGACGCGGGTCAGGCCGGCGCGGGACATCAGCAGTACTGGGGCGGGGGAGCCAGCGTCGACCCAGAGGAGCTTTTCCGCAAGATCTTTGGGGAGTTTTCCGGAGCGCGAGGCTTCGGGGATTTCAATGCCATCTTCGATCAGCCACAAGAGGTCAGATATGCTCTCCTAGATGTATAGATTTTCTGTGTGGCTGGACATTTTGTATTTTATTTTTTCTGGTTCTATTTTGATGGGTTTAATTAAATTTTAGTCAATAAAAAGCATGTCTAAAGGAGTTCATAACTCAATGTAGTCAGTCTTTATAAATGCAATCAAAAGAAAAAGTAACATTTTGCCATTTTTCTACTGTTTATTTTCCTTGTCAAATAAGTGCTGCACAACAGAACTTTACTGTGTACATTAAAAAACTTTTATAATTCTCTTTAAAATATATTTTTTTGATTTTACAATGCAATAATAACATTTTTATAATAATTTCTTCAAGTTAACTGGATTTTTATGTATTTATTTATTTATTTTTACTGATTGTCTGGTTGCATTCGCACCGCCAGTAGGAAGTGACTTTAAGACATGCTTGTAGTGACTTTTATTTTGACAGCGCGGCGGACCTTTATTTTCACAGCATTGAGAACACCAGAGCCTGAGCTCACACTGCTCGCAATCTCTGTGTTTATTAGTAGGGATGCACCGATACCGATACCAGTATCGGGTATCGGGCCCGATACCAAGCTCATGTACTTGTACTCGTACTCGTAAAAATACCCCGATACCAAAGACCGATACCTCACGCGAGTAACTGACAGAACTTTCCAGTGCACACAGAGACACCAGATGCAATGTCAGCCTCAGCAGTGTGGAAATATTTTCAAAATCAGTGATGACGACCCACGCATGGAAATCTGCACGATTATTTCTGCATTAATATCGAGAGTAGGGCTGCACGTTTTCAAGTTTTTCATTAACCGTTAATATTTGGTTAACCATAAGTGTTCGCGCTGCAACATACAGAGTTAATTTTTAAAACCTTTAATAACTGGTTGGACCCCATTTGAAACGAATTAATTTATAGAAATAAAACGCAGTGATAAGTAGGCTACAGAGCAGTTAAAGTAGGCACATTTCCATCACCCTTTAAACTGAAATTGCCAATTGAAAATAGCCTACGCACAGAAACAAGTCCATTTCGCAAAAACTCCGTGTCCGCAAATAAATATTTATGATCATCATCATTATTGTAACATTTTATTAGGCTGCATATGTAGAAGACGCCTTTATCCAAAAAAGGAACAAAGCACAAATAAACACAATATTTTGACGCATATCCAGTGTGTGTGCTTAGTGTGGAGCGCTGATGGCTGCGAGACGCCCATGTGAACACTTGCAGTTTCATTGCAGTTCTTTCAGTGGAAACAACTTAAAATACTCTTTCATTTCTGGTCATACAGAAAATAATAATACATTATTGACAAATACATTTATTTGCGTAAACTCACAATAACAAGAAAACGTTGTGCTTTAACAGCAGGCGTGCTTCATGATCTCCGTGAACTGAAGTGCGAGAACTGAAACAGCCGCATTCGAATTTGTTCGTTTTAAATTGGACATTTAAAGCTTTAGTCTGAGTAGACTAAAGCTTTAAATGTCCAATTTAAAACGAACAAATTCGAATCGAAAGCCAATATCTTCTGACTATGTAATTATGTAGCCTAGCTAATTATGTATTTCTCTCTAAAGGTGGATCCGGGGATGGAGATTTGTTTTTAGCAGAAACTGATTTAGAAAATAATAGTTTATTAACAAACAATTAATGTCTCGTTATTTTATATTATTTTATTATCAGACACATTTATTATATCTTATAAATCATCTATAAATCCCCTTTCTGTAGGCTGTTTACGGCTCTTCTCATTCAGCACTGCGGGGAAAATATCATTTCCAGGTTCTAATTTGGCCTCAGAAAACCAGTAAAATCTTTTTTTTTTTCCATATTCATTTGCCAAATATTTTAAATGTTTAAATGGGCAAAAAAAATCAAACAAATATCTGAAAATTCGTCGATATATAGCCTATATATTTTTGCGCAGCATTTGACGTAGTCCTACAGTTCAAATGAACATTTTGGTGTTCAACTTTGCGTTTTACAAAATAACCATTCATTTTTCGTTGTGCAATTAGGCCTACGGATTAAATAAGGGGAAACGAATGAACACAAAAGTACACTGACCGTTTGGACATAATACGAGGCAGAGTTCTTTTTTTTTTTTTTAATCATAAAAGATTAAGGAGAATAGCCTACTAGACAAAACCTCAAAGAAATGCAAAAACCAAGACCTCGGAGCAGAAATGAGGGAGAAACACACAGAAACTCTGTGTCTTTGCCTGCCATTAATGCTTGGATAACACACCACGTCTCCTTACATAAATAATAATAGGCTAATGTCTAGTGCGGTGGTTGTGATATAGACCGTTGCCATTATTTTTGGAATGACTTATCGCGAAAGAAAAAAATGCTTTAGTCGCATAACATCTTTAATATAAACGCTGTCATTTCACAATATTTATTTTATCGACATTCAGAAAAAAAACGCAAAAGTTTTGTGCAAATGTATTGACGCCACAATTTTAAACGGTTAATCGGTTAACCGGTTTTAACCATGGACACCCCTAATCGAGAGGAGGTACAAAAGCCAGTACATATAATACAAGTAACTTGATAAAACATCTGAAATTTAAACACAAAAGTGAGCACGGTGAATTTGCCACTAGCAGTAGCACTCTGCAACAAACTTTGCAGCAAACCTTTTCAAGGCAAGAGAAAATGTCAAAAGATACCTCAAGAGCAATAAAAATAACAGAAATGCTTACCCAATTCATTGTTCTTGACAATAAACCACTCTCAATTTATTGGTTAAAGTTTGTTGTTAAAAAAATAAAGATGCTTATATGTTCATTAGTCTCATTGTGTTGTTCTTAAAAAATCGCCAGGCATCGGTATCGGTATCGGCGAGTACCAGGAACAAAATATCGGTACTCGTACTCGATCCTTAAAAAGTGGTATCGGTGCATCCCTATTTATTAGTATATGATCTGTCTTACAGCCCTGTCTAATATGTTGTTAGATTGAACTATTATAGACCATTTTGCAAGATGTAAACAACACTGGTCCAGAAGCACTTCCTGTTTCAGTTTTTTAACACTACATAAAAGCTGACATAAAATAAAACCAACAGAACATATAAAACTGAATCAAAAAGTTAAACAAACGTCTTTACGATGTTTTCTATACATGTGAAATATAGAAAACAGTTACAATCTGAAACAGGAAGTGTTTATGGACCAGTGTTGTTTACATTTTGCAAAATGGTCTATACATAGAAAATAGACAGTAATGAAAGGGTATTAGCGTATGCTAATTAAAACGGTTCTTTTTTCTGGAGATGAAGTTCATGTGTTCATATACTAGTGAGATGCTGAAAACACCACTAGCATTAGCGTACTTGAGCCAGTCATTCACTTAGAAACACACAAAACATGCAAATTTCAGATTTCAATAGCACTTCTTTTTGCAGATTTATCACAAATTGAATTTGATTTATTATACAGACCTAATTTTGATTGGTAAACTAAATTTGGCCGAACTCCGCGCTATTCAGTAAATTCCATTTTTATGCTTAGATTCAATTCTGTTTGTTAACAGTATGTCATGGAGCTCACGTTCGCTCAGGCTGCCAAAGGAGTGAATAAGGAGATTACGGTCAGCGTCGAGGGAACGTGTCAGCGCTGTGGCGGCCGAGGCCATGAGCCCGGATCTAAAATCCAGCACTGCGGGAACTGCAACGGGACCGGCATGGTAAGTGACGCCCGCGAGCACGTCCAGTCATTTAGACATGTCCAATAACTCAACGTAGCGTTTGTCCTTGTAGGAGACGGTGAACACGGGGCCTTTCGTGATGCGGTCCACCTGCCGGCGCTGTGGCGGGAGGGGCTCGGTCATCACGTCGCCCTGTACGGCGTGTCGAGGAACGGGACAGACCAAACAGAGGAGGACCGTCACGGTGCCTGTTCCTGCTGGTGAGTTAGCCGGTCGTCTTTGGGGTCTGGTTGAGCGGAGGAGTTGAGTTTTGAGCTTTTGTTTACTGTGTTGTTCAGGAATTGAAGATGGGCAGACGGTCCGAATGCCTGTGGGGAAGAAAGAGATCTTCATTACGTTCAGAGTGAGTATATCACTGCGTTGAGGATTTAGGTAGTCTATAAGCACGTCAAGTGATTACATGAAGGCTTTCGCACTAGGTGGTTATAGGAACTAGTCAACAGGGCAGTTCCCTAGAGCATTAAAGGGTTAGTTCACCCAAAAATGAAAATTAAGTCATTAATTACTCACCCCCATGCTGTACCAACCCCGTCAGACCTTCGTTCGTCTCCGGAACACAAATGAAGATATTTTTGATTAAATTTGAGAGCTGTATAACTACCACATTGGCTCCTAAGGGACTGGCTCTTGACGGCCCAGAAAGTCAATGAAGAAAATGTTTAAATATCCCATGTGACTACCGTGGCTCAACTATAAGGTTATCAAGCGCCGAGAATACTTTTTGTGCGAAAAAACAAACAAAAATAACGACTTTATTCGACTATTCCTTTTCTTCCTTGTTGGCCTGAAACGAGACTTCAATAGATTTCCACGACGCATGCACGAGAACTGAACTGAAGTAGTTGAAGGAGATCGCAATCCTCGCGCATGCGTCGTGGAAATCTAAGGAAGTCTCGTTTCAGGCCAACAAGGAAGAAAAGAAATAGTCGAATAAACTCGTTATTTTTGTTTGTTTTTTCGCACAAAAAGTATTCTCGTCGCTTGATAAACTTATAAACTTAATTTTCATTTTTGGGTGAACTAACCCTTTAAGGCCGGATTCACATATAGCGCCTAAAAACGCGTAGAAAACGCTGGGCGCGCCGCATTCTCCATTTTCCAAAGCGCCAGGGCGGTTGCGCTTCAGTTGGTTCTTGTCACATGACCTATTGTGTGCGTATGGTGCGCTTGCGGTATTCTGAAAAGTTGAGATGTTTTTATCTCGACGCGGCATGGAAAAAATTGAGCGCGTCGCACCGCGACCGCATCGCTTCCATTATGAGCGCGCATACCGCGCGTCTACATTTGAAATAACGAACTTGAGCGCGCAAAAGACGCGATATGTGAACCGGCCCTTAATCTTCCCCAAGGGGCATTTTTTTGGTTGCAAAAATTATGGGTGTCTGTGTTTTGTTATGGCATGAATTCAGCCAATCAGCATACACTTATGTTACTGGTGGGTTCCTATTGTGCTTGATTACAGCCTACTCTAAAGTAAGAGTTAGTCCTCCCAACAGGCTTTCCTATAACTAAAATCATTCCCAGCTCTTGTGGTGTGAACACTGAAAAGCAGGTACTTCCACCAGTAGTTATAAGAACTTTGAAAACTTTATCCGGTGCAAAAACATTCAAAATCTCTGAAATTACCATTGAAATAACTAAAATAAATTGGCAAAGTGTTCTGGAACTAGTGGCACTTAGTTAACCAATCAGAATCGAGCATTGAACAGCGCTTATGTAAGGATAGTTTTGTTTAAAAGTTTGAGTCTACATTGACAATCTGAAATAAAAAATGTGTTTTGCATGGAAAAAAAAATCTAAAACAAGGAAGATTTTGTAAAATATATATATATATATTTTTTAAACGGCTATTTCTATGTTGCTAAAAAAAATCAGTCTAAGTGCTGCTGTCATTGAAGCAAAAGGAAACAAACAGATGTTTTCAAATTCATGTGCATGTTTCAATTCAACGTTTTAATTTTTTTGCTAATGCAATTTGCAATTAATATTTCAACAAATAATGCAATTAAAACAAACAATAATATTATTATACATTTTGATAGTTAATTAATTGCTGATAACTTGTATTATATATATTTTTTTAAAGCATTCAAACTGTTTTATGTGGTACCAGTAAATTCTATCCAAACATTTATAATTTACAGTAGAAAAGCGTTAAATGCTTCTGAGACAAAAGCTTACTAATAATCAGTGATTTTATTTGCTGATTACGAAAATGACTAATAAATTTCAGTTTCTGAAGACTGAAGTCAAGTCACGTTAATTATATAGCGCTTTTTACAATACAGATTGTTTCAAAGTAGCTTAACAGGGATAACAGGAAAATAGTCCAACAAAGTTTGTTTCTGCTGTACTTTACAGTGGATATAGAAGAAAATAGCGTCACAGTATAGTTTTAAGTAAATTCAGTGATGGTTCATTCATAGTCAAGTGTCTGTTTGTGTTGAATAGACTGTATTAGACCCAGATCCAGCTTGTGTACTCTATGCTAATCATCTGTGTCGATGTTCTCAGGTCCAGAAGAGTCCGATCTTCAGGAGAGACGGCGCTGACATCCACTCAGACGTCAGTATCTCTGTGGCTCAGGCCATATTGGGCGGCACAGTCCGAGCTCAAGGACTGAACGAGACCGTCAATCTCTCGGTGGGACATCTTGGTGACGTTAACGCGACCGTATTCTGAATAATCTTATGCATGTAAACACAGTCATTCACTCAGTGGATGTTCTCGTAGATCCCAGCTGGAATCCAGACCGACCAGAGGATCCGGCTCTCTGGAAAAGGTATCCCGCGGGTCAGCGGCTATGGTTACGGTGACCACTACGTCCATGTCAAGATCAAAGTCCCCAAGTAAGACTTCTTAGAAATGTTTTATGTCACTGTTGAACATTAAAATGACTGATCCATCTGTTTGTCTCCTGTCCAGGATGTTGACAGACCGACAACGAGGCCTTATGATGAGCTACGCGGAGGACGAGACCGACGTGGAGGGAACCGTCAATGGCGTGACCAGCACCACTACAGGTAGTGTTATTGCGCTTTTCCACGGTATGGCTCAATTAAATAATACCACCTCTGTTGAGGTTCCAAGCGAGCCGTACCGATACTAAAATGTGACGTGTAAACACTGCAGATCACTGATTGGTCAGAGAAAATCATACAAGAGTCATTGAATTTGCAACATGAGACCCAAACCCACTAGCAGTATCAGTCTGATCCCATCCACTTTGAACCATTAGTTTAGTCACGTTCACAGTGGTCATGTTAAAACCAGTGCCTGTCTCTGTCCAGGAGGGGGCAGTGATGAGACTGGGACAGGGCACAAACAGAAAGACGAGGGCTTTTTCTCCAAATTAAAGAAAATGTTTAGCTCCTCCTGACAGCCACAACGCAGGTATGATGATTTGTTTTAAGATACGACTCCCTGAAAACCATTTGAATGATTTTAGGGATTGGAAAAGCCCAAGTAAAATGTTATTACCATGGTTCAGTATCTGGTTTGCGGCTGTCTTTGACTGCGAATCCTCCAAAATAGCATTTGGACACCTGAAACTCACTTAAAGGGATAGGCTAGTTCACTTTGAAATACATTTTTGATATGTTTTATCTTACCTCAAGGGCAATCAAGATGTAGGTGTCTTTGTTTCCGCAGTATTTTCAATTTTGATATTTTTAGGTCAAAGCGTTCTTGTCTGTCAGTCATATAATGGAGGTCTATGGTCACCACCTCAAAGAGCATGCACAGAGAAGTCCAGATTAAACATGATTTAATGACTCGTAAATGTAAGTACACATTGATAGACTAAGACACGAAACGAGCGGTTTGTGTGAGAAAACGAACAGTATTTATATAGTTTTTACCTCTTGTAACCACAGCCACGTCCAAGTGATCTGAGGGCACGGGCGCTTCGGTTTGCGCAATAAACTAGTTTAAATAAACTGCTAGTTGTGGCCTGTTTTTGATTGGTCCTTGCGCTAGTTTTGGCCGGTTTTTGATTGGTCCTTGGGCTAGTTTTGGCCTGTTTTTGATTGGTCGTTGAGCTAGTTTTGGCCTGTTTTTGATTGGTCGTTGCGTTAGTTTTGGCCTGTTTTTGATTGGTCGTTGCGCTAGTTTTGGCCTGTTTTTGATTGGTCGTTGCGCTAGTTTTGGCCTGTTTTTGATTGGTCGTTGCGCTAGTTTTGGCCTGTTTTTGATTGGTTGTTGCGCTAGTTTTGGCCTGTTTTTGATTGGTCGTTGCGCTAGTTTTGGCCTGTTTTTGATTGGTCGTTGCGCTAGTTGTGGCCTGTTTTTGATTGGTCGTTGCGCTAGTTTTGGCCTGTTTTTGATTGGTCGTTGCGCTAGTTGTGGCCTGTTTTTGATTGGTCGTTGCGTTAGTTTTGGCCTGTTTTTGATTGGTCGTTGCGCTAGTTTTGGCCTGTTTTTTTATTGGTCGTTGCGCTAGTTTTGGTCTGTTTTTGATTGGTCATTGCGTTAGTTTTGGCCTGTTTTTGATTGGTCGTTGCGCTACTTTTGGCCTGTTTTTGATTGGTCGTTGCGCTAGTTTTGGCCTGTTTTTGATTGGTCGTTGCGCTAGTTTTGGCCTGTTTTTTTATTGGTCGTTGCGCTAGTTTTGGTCTGTTTTTGATTGGTCATTGCGTTAGTTTTGGCCTGTTTTTGATTGGTCGTTGCGCTACTTTTGGCCTGTTTTTGATTGGTCGTTGCGCTACTTTTGGCCTGTTTTTGATTGGTCGTTGCGCTACTTTTGGCCTGTTTTTGATTGGTCGTTGCGCTAGTTTTGGCCTGTTTTTGATTGGTCGTTGCGCTAGTTTTGGCCTGTTTTTGATTGGTCGTTGCGCTAGTTTTGGCCTGTTTTTGATTGGTCCTTGCGCTAGTGCGTGTCGAACCATGGGTGGACATCAGTACGGTTCGAATCTTTTTTTTTTTCTTTTTTTTTTTTTACGGAGAAAGGTTACACCCATAATAACTCCTAATGAGTTAATAGAAACTAAATATTTTCAAAATAATATTTTATACATTTAAATATTACACTGGATTAATGGGCTCTTTATGCAAGAAACTGTATAGATACCTTTTAAATTTTAGGACGGGGTCTCATTTTGGGAGGTTCATGGCATTTAAAAGATTGAAAACTCCTGATCTTTTGCATCTCTTAGATTAATTCTTCCATTTGTTTGTCTTTACAGGTAAAAGATCCACTGGAAATTAGAGACTTGTTCTTGCTAGTGATGATGTAAAACCAGATGGACATATAAGAGGAGGAGACGAGTCTTCTGTTGTTGGACACATGCAGCGGTGAATTCATCTCGATCCCTCATCAGAAACTACACATGATGGTGGCAGTGAAGAGCTCTGGTTCTGTCATTGACTTCTAAGAGAAGATTCTGAATCCTCAATCTCAGAGGAATATGATTTACGCACATGCACCCGTCTTACCCGTAACATTGTGATGTCAGCCTTCGCACCACAATGGTCTGTAATTTTACGTTAAGGTGTTACGTAGTCAGTTCTTTTGTTTTCTGATGTTCTGAGATGAAGTGATTCACAAACGGATGTGGACTCTTTACTTCAGTTTCAGTAAATGTTTCAGATTGATCAAGTCCAATATTCAAGATTGTTTGTGGTGTTTGTCATTGAATGTTACATCCATCTGCTTTATTTGCAGTGTACATAGACCACTGTTAATATTAAAATCAATTTAATGTTATTGTAGAGATAAATATGCAATAAGTAATAAAATCTCTGTGTAACAAATGACTGTTTATGTTGTTGAATATATAGTGTAACTTTCTGATGCATTAATTATTATTCACAAAAGTATTTTCTTTTTCCTTTAAAACAGCACTAATTTTATTGTTTTTTTATAGTAAGTGTCATTTGTAGAACTTTACTAATAAACATTACATTGTCTTTAAATGAACAAAAATTACAACTATGTTGGCAGGGGCAGAAATGTAATTGGTTGAGTTTAAAGCTGGTTGAAAGTAATTGTCTTAAACTTATCAAGTAAGTTATCTAATTTTTTACTTTGATATAATGTGAGCAACCTTTATCCCTTACAAAAAATAACCTACAGGAATCCTGCTGGATTTTAATTTTTTTTCTGCAGGAATTGTAAAATCCTGCCGGATTTTTCTCTTGTGCTGCACTGCTGTCCTGCAGGAAGTTTAAAATCCTGCAGGATTTTTCTCTTGATTAAAAAAAAAAGAAAATTCACTAGCGTTGGATGTCCCTACATGTTTCTGTTGTACTAAAGGGCTCAATCTAAAACAATTAGGAATGTCCTGTACATACTGCTGTGCAACACAAGCTACTGCTGTAATCATTCCTGCAGAAATTAAATGTTACACTAAATGTAAACTTACTAGACTAGAGAAAAAAACTGTGATGAGTGTGTGTGAGTTTCTGTAGTTTTATTCATACATTTTTTATTTAATTAGATTCAAGAACATTTCATTGAACTATTTTTGATATATTATGTTCTGTTGGCAGCAATAGAAACAATGAGTCTTAAAAAATAAATGTGAAGTTTGGCTACTTTAGGTAAAAAGGGGTACGCTACAGAGCTCAAGGGCATCCAAGATGTAGTTGTCTTTGTTTCCACAGTATTTTCAATTTTGACATTTTTCGGTCAAACCGGTGTTGTCTGTCAGTCATATAATGCAGGTTTAGTGGGTCAAAGAGCATGCACAGAGAAGTCCAAATTAAACATGATTTAATGACTTGTAAATGTAAGTACACATTGATGGCCTAAGACACGAAACGAGCGGTTTGTGTGAGAAAACGAACAGTATGTTTTTACCTTGTGTAACCACAGCCACGTCCAACTGATCTGAATCAGTTGTCCAATGTCCAACTGAATCATGTCGAAGTGATCGCCTGCGCGTCTACGTCACTCATTGTTTACACAGAGATTTCGGAAGTTTTACCTTTCACTAAACATATTTAGATATATCGAAATCGCCTTCCATTGCGATTTCCTGTATATCTAAATATGTTTAGATCTTCACAGTGAAAGGTAAAACTTCCGAAATCTCTGTGTAAACAGTGAGTGACGTACACGCGCAAGCGATCACTTCCGGCAGAACGTTCGACATGATTCAGTCATGTCATCCAACCAAACAGATGGGAGTTGGATTAAAATTAAATTGCTGGTTTTGATCTTAATGTTATAAAATATAAAAGTGTACAGTAGACAGACTTATATCTCTTGAATGCTGAAATGTCTATGGGAGGTTTGCATAAATGCATAATTTTTAAATGATTTTTTTTTTTTGCCTATATCCATTCTTACTCTTGATTGTATTATTGATCTCATCGGGCCAAACAACTTTTCGATCAGATTTTCAATACCCAGAATGCAACACACTGTACCTTCCATGAGAAATGTAATTCTCATGATTTGATCCAACTGCAGAAGTAAAAACATTTTTACACAAAATTAAATTAAAAATGCAATAACAGCTTTTTATTTCTGTGCTGATCATGGAGCATAAATTGCTGAATTAAACATACAAAGTGTATGGTTGTTCTGTTTGAAACCATTTTAAAAAGTATGGCTCCGTCCGAAATCACAAAGCTACTTCGAACTACATAGACTTTGAACTTAAACATGGCGGGGGCATCTATTATTGTAGGCTGCTCGCACTGATATCCACCATCCCGTTAAAGACCTCTTTTTATGTTTTTTAAACATAACTGTTGCAATGGGGAGAAAACAAATCAGTGAATCTGTAAACAAATAATGTTATGAACCTGCATACCTTTGGTTCTGAACTAAATTTCTCCATTTCAAACCCCTGTGAAGATTGCTGTTGATGTGAGGGAAGAACGTTATAATCTAAACCTGAAACATACTAAACTTTATTATTCTGGATACTCTAGTGTGCAATTCTGTTTCATTGCTTTCATTTTGTGATTTAAAATAAGCAATCATTTGGTTTAGCTACTAATAACATGCCCTTATATGTAAATGTATTTTATTCTGCGTAGTAAAGAACAATGACTTTCACCTGTGACACATTGATTGAGCAAATTGCCAGGTGCAGGTGGAGCCATTCTGATTAACATCTGCATAAATTGGGATGGTAGCACCATAATGTGTCATTGAAACAAGCTTAGCAATAATGGGGTTTTGGCAGTTTGGATTTGGATTGGTGTTTATTCTTGCACTTGGATTTTCTGAAGCACAATGGAGAGCAAGAGCAGTGCACAATCAGAGTCCAAGTGAGTTTAGGCCTAGAACATTAGCTCAAGCTTCTCAACAGTCTGAATCCTGGATGTCTTTGGTTCCCAGTAACAATGAATTTGCACCACAAATGTTTCCCGCTCCGGTTCCTGTCCAGACACCAGTCAGCACTGACTTAAGAAAGTCTTCTCAAGATCTTATGGGTGTTCAATTAAAAGAGCTGTTGCAGGGTCCAGTGGCAAAACTGACGTGGAGCTTTCCAAGTCTACCAGAAGAACCACAGCAGCCAGACGTTCCTTTTGAGTTGCCTTATCCTGTCCCTGCCAACAGTGTAGCTGCTCAGTGTGGAGAGAATTCAGTATATGTGGAAGTGATGAAGGACTTCTTTGGGACTGGGCACCCACTGTTGTCCTCTGGTTTTACACTGGGAGGCTGTACTGCAACTGGAGAGGATTCTTCTGCTCAAGTGCTGATCTTTGAGTCTGAACTGCATGGATGTAGCGGCACCTCAATGGTAAGGTTCTGTTGTGACCATAATCATACAGTAGGTATTCTGAACTGTCCATGTGACTGTTCTTCTTTTATTCTTTCTGTTTAGGTGACTGAGGATGAGCTTGTCTATAGGTTCAACATTATGTACACCCCACAAGAGGCTTCATATGGTGTTCCTATTGTCAGGAGCAGTGGTGCGGTGGTTGCCATCGAGTGTCATTATCCAAGGTGAGGATTCAATTAATTCAGGCTCAACGGATGTTCTAATCCTGCCATTTATGGGCAAGAGATGACCACTTGTTTAACTCCTACAGAACACATAATGTGAGCAGCGACACCTTAATGCCCACTTGGATCCCATATGCCTCAACTGAGTTTGCAGAGGATGTGTTCGTCTTCTCCCTCAAGCTCATGACTGGTTGGTATAGCCCATAGGCCTACAGATTTGTAGAATGTTTGTTTGTGATTCATCTGTTAAGATTATTATATATATTTTTTCAGATGACTGGAGATTTGAGAGACCTTCTAACCAGTACTTCCTGGGTGACATAATAAATCTTGAAGCATCAGTGCGTTTGTACAGCCATGTTCCCATCAGTGTGTTTGTGGACAGCTGTGTGGCTACTGCAGTCCCTGATGTTGCTTCTGTCCCCAGATACTCCTTTATTGAGAATAATGGGTGAGAGGTGCTACCTCATGTATCCCAGCTTCCAGAAGGGTTGTGTGATTTCTAACTGGGTTCTGTTCACAGGTGCCTGGTTGATGCCAAGCTCACAGGCTCCACGTCTCACTTTATGCCCCGGACTCAAGGTGATAAGCTAAGGTTTCAGCTAGAGGCGTTCAGGTTCCAGCAAGCGGACAGTGGGCTGGTAAGCATGTCATGTAGTTGTGCAACTCTTTTTATGATATGCTGCCATGGTGTACAAACAATTGTCTCTGCAGGTCTACATCACGTGCATTTTGAAGGTGGCTGCAGCAACATCTCCAAGTTCTGAACAGAAAGCTTGTTCATTCTCTGCTAATGGGTATGTCGCCTGCTAAATACGTGTACAGGTGAATTGGTTGTGTTCACTTATTTGAGGGTTTGTTTTGTCAGGTGGGTGTCTGCAGATGATTCTGACCAGGTTTGTGGCTGCTGTGACACAACGTGTAGCATTAGAAGTGAAAGTGATCAACTGCTAACAGGTTTGTACCAACTCTGGGAAGTTGTTATTGGCATACATGACTTTAGTTCTCACTAATCATTTGTTCCTCAGATCTACGCTGGGAGAAGGCATCTGTCGGCCCCATCAATGTTAAAGAATATGGCTATGGCCAAAAATAACTGGAAATGTAATGTGACTTCTGGTGTTTTTTAAAATAAATGTTGTTAATATATTTGCGTTTTGTTGTCTTGTACAAATACTACACTTAAACATTTTTATCCAGTTTACTTGGTTTCTTTTCAGACATGTACCACAAAAAGTCTAATTTTACAAGCCTACATGGGGGGGGGACTTTTTTTTTTTCTTTTTTTTTTTTCTCTATAGTCATTTGTGGGGCTAAGCCTATTACAACACAATAAGTAACGACTTGAAACTTTGAGGGATGCTAGTATACCCATCCTGTTTATTGGTGCTGAGGCACCAGAGGAACCTTTTCATAGTTACTAGAACTATTGGTGGAAGTACCTGGATTTTGGCGTGTTCGTACCGCAGGAACTAGGAACGATTTTAGTTTTAGGAACTAATTTAGCTCCTTTAGGGTCTAAACTAGCGCGAACTATCCGTGACGTAAGTGTACACTGATTGGCCGAATGCACGCGAAAATCCAGCACTTGCTATTATTAAATGTAATGGCTTTGTAAACATTCATAGATTATAGCCATTTAACTTTACAAAGTACAGAACCTCTAGAAACATAGAAAATGGTGATAGATAGGTATCATAACATTTACACTGAGGAGAAAATCCAACGCAACTGAGGGGATCAAGCATGACATTATGAGTTTCTGCTCTGCTAGCAACACACTGGACATGTGTAGGCTACACGTTTTTTTTTTTTTTTTTTTTTTCTATGTATAACAGTTTTTTCTAATGTATAAGACGGAATTGTTAGACAAATCGTAAACTAATGAGTTTGGCGCATGCACTGTGTGTTCAGGCTCTGGCATTGTCAAAATAAGTCTAAGCGTGGCTTTTCACTTCAGAGTTCCTGTTGCCTGTGCAAATGCAACCTGGAAAACGTTATTTCTGAGATTCTTAGCATGCTTCAAATTGCATGAAACTTGACACATCACATTTGTCAGCCGGTAGACATGGGCAAAGCTTTAAAAATGGGTGTGTAGGATGGGCTAAGTAGCGTCACCTTTAGGTTTTACATTCAACAAGCTTGGTACATAATGTATAATATTATCATCGAGCCGGACGACCCTCTAATTAGAGTCATTATCTCCGACCAACAGGAAGTTAGATTGTTTCAATGTGGAATTTTGGAATCAAGGAGCCTCATACGATTCACACCAAACTTTCTGGACATGATGCCAATATATTGAATAGGCTGAAATTCAAACGGGTTTCGTGAATGGAGTTTATGAAATAAAATAATGACAAAAAGGGAAAGAGGAAGAGTCTCATGTATTCTAAATAATAAATTGTTCACCATTTATTTCTATAGAAAATAATACATATTGTTCACCATTTATTTCTATAGAAAAATAATACAGATAAGATTATTTTTATAAAATGCATTTGTGCTATCTGGTTGAAAGAACTAAAATGTAATGCATAGTATAACCACTAGAATGCAGCATAGGCCTATATTTAAAAAGGGTTGGAAAAAAGCCTTGTTGCTGAGAATTTTTCAGACTTAATTATCAAAAATGTTGAGCTTTCAAAAATGAGAGCATTTTGGCTGAGCTTTATCCCCAAGACTCCAAACATTCGTCTTACTTTGTTCACTCACTTTGTCTTTCAATCAGCTGTGACTGTCTGATAATCAAATCATCAAACCTTGGCATGATGTAAATACATTTTGGTACTAGATTGCTACTCAATCTCTCTGCACAAATTTATCAAATAGATTGTACTATCTCTCTGCTCAAATCTTGTACACCAAGACTACACTGATGGATTTCAAAGTAGTTTTCATTGCAATTCTTGCTATTTATTTCTTTTATTAAAGCAAACATGTTATGAATATCATTGTTGCCCTGCAGTGTGGATGTTTTTTTGTGAGTTGCTTATTGTGTTAAATTATTGAATTGTGTGTGTGTGCATCTGTGTATGTAGATAAATAAAAGTGAAAAATAAATAAACAACAACAATTAAAAAACATTTCCATATTATGCATAAATGTATCACAATAAATAAAAAAAAAGATATATACAATAAGTACAGAGAGGAGTTTAATGGAAAAGAGGGTTCAGCCCTTCTCCCTCATATGATGGCAGGAGGACACGTACTGCGCTGCCAGGTGAACACACTCTTCTTTCTCTCCCAAAATATAAGACAGTTTGTTTATGGGGCTCGCTTGTTGGAATTTAGGTACAATCTGTGCTATTTGTGTGAAATAAGGGTGATGTTTTTCTGATGTTTTTATACTTGCTACACTCACTGAGGAAGTGCAGCTCGTCCTCTACGGCCCCATCAGGGCAGTGTGGACAGACTTGGAGCTCTCTCTCTCTCCAGCTCTGCTTGTGTCGGCCCGTCTCCACACACAGACTGTGGTCACTAATGCGATACTTAGTCAGGAGCTTTCTCTGGCCATAGTTACTGATATCAGTCAGATGGAGCCAATTTATAATCCGACTTTATTTTGTTGAAATATTTTAATTTATTTAGTTGTGTGACCTTTATCTGCCAATCGTGTATGGATTCTTCTTTGGTTATTATCCCTATTTCTTTTACTTTTGAGTGTCTGAATTGAATAGATGAATTGAGTTGGTGTCTTCTCTCTCTCTCTCTCTCTCTCTCTCTCTCTCTCTCTCTCTCCCTATGTCTAACCATATTCATGTAACTTTCTAAGTTGGTAAAAGGTACAGGATTGTTTTTAGACACAATAAATTCTCCCCAATTTAGCATAAACTGAGCTTTGTTCATGCATGTGCCTAATCCTAAAACTTACATACCCCATATATCCGTAATTGTCTCTCTGCACAGTTTGTATTAAATTATGACAATTAAACAAAACTATACATAAAAGTCAACCTGATGTGATCAGACACATTTTGTGTAAAGTGTATGAGAATATCCTATGCAGACAATACACAGTTACACACTTTAAAATGTTTAAACAGCACAGGGAATCAGAGCCTACACAAAACAATCATCAATTATCTTTTAAAAGCCAATTAGTTTTTCCAGGTGAACAGTGTTTCATGTAATTAGTTATTTGCCCTAATTGGACTGATGAAGGCCTATAACATACACTTATCTCCAGTTACGTTTGTTTGCAGTTGGAGTGTCAGTGTGGTGGTTTGAGAAAGTGAATGTTGGGGCTTTGGAGTACTCAGGGTTTTTTGTTTGCCATGGACAAAGGGTGGACACAGTGAGTTTATTATTTCAATCTTTGTTTGTGAATGATTCAGCAAATATTTAATTTACTCTATGTATTTGATAGATTTACCTTTAGGTTACCCTTGTTTGTAATCTTCCTGCTCTTTTTGAGAACTACTCATGGATTTAAAGGTAAGATTTTATTTGATTTATTATCTCTCTCTTGCAAAGGATTTTAAATTGTGAGCTTTTTTATCTACAAGTCTTATATTTTGTCCATTTCAAAGGTGGGGCTCGTTCAGATGCTCACCACTGGTGGGGCCAACCGTCATACAAAACCTTCTCACCTCGTGCAGTCCAGTCTTCTGTGTCAGAGGTCCCTGTGACTGGGATTTTGCCTGAAGAAGTGGGCTCTAGTAGGTTCACTAACAGACCCCTGAAAAGGTTGAACTTGCACCAATTTGTTAAAGGTGGTGTTTCCAGCAGCCATGGATCAATGTCCCATGCACAGACAGCTCCAAGCAGCTCTGTTTTAGCTTCCTTGCCTCTACCCTTAAATGAACGGTATATAGGCCATTTGACATCGCTCCAGGGTTCCTCTGGCTCAGCCGCTACAGATACTACTAGTGTTTCTACACAAGGAGAAAGTAGCTTCCCTGCCATGCTTGGCACTTCTGGCCTGTCCACCAGTGATCAAAGGTCCCCTAGTTTGTACATGTCCAGCTCCTTGGAAACCTTTGGTGCTAAATCAGCAGAAGCCACTTTGCCCATGTTCTCTCAGGAGAGTATGTCTTCCAGCAGTTCATCTTCTCCAGGTGCCACGTACACTTCTCAAGGTAGCCCAGTGCTGGCTTCAGAAGGCTCTGGTCAATCCATCTCCCCTCAGGGTGAAAGTAGTTCCAGTGGCTTGTCTCAAGGGGCCTTGAGTGAATATAACCAGGACTCCAATAACATGCTCAGTTCATCTGTTTCTAGTCAGTCTACCAGTGACCAGAGTACCCCCAGTTTGTCTACTTCTAGCATTCAGGGAAGTTCAGGCAGTTTGCTGGAAGCTTCTGGCTCTTCTTTTCAAGGGGAAGTGGCAGGGGTTAGCTTACTTGTTGACTTGTCTCCCCAATCACAAGACCACTCCAGTCAGCTTCTACCCTCACCCTTGGAGGTCTCTAGCCAGTCTACTAATGGTCAAAGCACTCCCAGCTTGTTTATGCTTGGCTCTGAGAGCAGTTCAGATTCACAGTCAACAGATCCTGCTTCACCTCAAGACACTGAGGATAGTCTCTCTCAAAGCATTTCTAGCCAGTCCACAAGCGTTCAAAGTTCACCTAGTGTGTCTACAAGCACCCAGAGCAGGTCTGCCACCAAGTTAACTTCCAGTAATTTTTTTCCTGTGCAGGGAGGTAGTAGTTCTACTAGCTTATATCTGAAGCCTCAGGGCGCTCTTTATGCTCCTGCGTCCCATACCAAATATGTCAGTTTTCCCATGTCATCACACCCAGCTTTTTATAGCCAGTCAAAAAGTAGCTCTGGTCCATGGTTTGGGGGCTCTACTGGCTTTGCCACCGAGGGAATGAGTAGCGCTTACAGTGGTTCCTTCCAGCCTCAAGGTACCACAAGTCAGTTTGCCTCTGGGTCTCCATCCTACTATCCAAGTGTCTCACCCTGCAGTCAGTCTGCTGCAGTCCATAGTTCACAGAAACAGTTTGCCTCTAGTTATGGCACCCAGTCAGGCTCCTCTAAGCTATTGACTCTGCAGGGAAGCACCACTAATAGTGAATCACTCCAGCCTCAAGGTACCACAAGTCAGTTTGCCTCTGGGTCTCCATCCTACTATCCAAGTGTATCACCCTCCTCCCCCCAACGTGCCTCCAGCCAGTCTGCTGCAGTCCAAAGTTCACAGAAGCAGTTTGCCTCTACCTATGGCACCCAGTCAGGGTCCTCTAAGCTATTGACTGTGCAGGGAAGCACCACTTATGGTGAATCACTCCAGCCTCAAAGTACCACAAGTCAGTTTGCCTCTGGGTCTCCATCCTACTATCCAAGTGCATCACTCTCCTCCCCCGAAGGTGCCTCCAGTCAGTCTGCTGCAGTCCAGAGTTCACGGAAGCAGTTTACCTCTACCTTCACAGGCAACTCTGGCACACAGGAAGGGCCCTCTGATCCCTTCAAATGGCAGGGAAGCACCACCTATGGTGGATCACTCCAGCCTCAAGGTACCACAAGTCAGTTTGCCTCTGGGTCTCCATCCTACTATCCAAGTGCATCACTCTCCTCCCCCCAAGGTGCCTCCAGTCTGTCTGCTGCAGTCCAGAGTTCACAGAAGCAGTTTGCTTCTACCAATGGCACCCAGTCAGGGTCCTCTAAGCTATTGACTCTGCAGGGAAGCACCACTTATGGTGAATCACTCCAGCCTCAAAGTACCACAAGTCGGTTTGCCTCTGGGTCTCCATCCTACTATCCAAGTGCATCATTCTCCTCCCCCCAAGGTGCCTCCAGTCAGTCTGCTGCAGTCCAGAGTTCACGGAAGCAGTTTACCTCTACCTTCACAGGCAACTCTGGCACACAGGAAGGGCCCTCTGATCCCTTCAAATGGCAGGGAAGCACCACCTATGGTGGATCACTCCAGCCTCAAAGTACCACAAGTCGGTTTGCCTCTGGGTCTCCATCCTACTATCCAAGTGCATCATTCTCCTCCCCCCAAGGTGCCTCCAGTCTGTCTGCTGCAGTCCAGAGTTCACGGAAGCAGTTTACCTCTACCTTCACAGGCAACTCTGGCACACAGGAAGGACCCTCTGATCCCTTCAAATGGCAGGGAAGCACCACCTATGGTGGATCACTCCAGCCTCAAGGTACCAAAAGTCAGTTTGCCTCTGGGTCTCCATCCTACTATCCAAGTGCATCACTCTCCTCCCCCCAAGGTGCCTCCAGTCAGTCTGCTGCAGTCCAGAGTTCACAGAAGCAGTTTGCTTCTACCAATGGCACCCAGTCAGGGTCCTCTAAGCTATTGACCCTGCAGGGAAGCACCACTAATAGTGAATCACTCCAGCCTCAAGGCACCACAAGTCAGTTTGCCTCTGGGTCTCCATCCTACCAACCAAGTCTATCACCCTCCCCCCAAGGTGCCTCCAGTCAGTCTGCTGCAGTCCAGAGTTCACAGAAACCGTTTACCTCTACCTTTACAGGCAACTCTGGCACACAGGAAGGGCCCTCTGGTCCCTTCAAATGGCAGGGAAGCACCACCTATGGTGGATCACTCCAGCCTCAAGGTACCAAAAGTCAGTTTGCCTCTGGGTCTCCATCCTACCATCCAATTGTATCACTCTCCTCACCCCAAGGTGCCTCCAGTCAGTCTGCTGCAGTCCAAAGTTCACAGAAGCAGTTTGCCTCTACCTATGGCACCCTGTCGGGGTCCTCTAAGCTATTGACTCTGCAGGGAAGCACCACTTATGGTGAATCACTCCAGCCTCAAAGTACAAGTCAGTTTGCCTCTGGGTCTCCGTCCTACTATCCAAGTGCATCACTCTCCTCGCCCCAAGGTGCTTCCAGTCAGTCTGCTGCAGTCCAGAATTCACAGAAACAGTTTATCTCTACATTCAAAGGCAACTCTGGCACACAGGAAGGGCCCTCTGGTCCCTTCAAATGGCAGGGAAGCACCACCTATGGTGGATCACTCCAGCCTCAAGGTACCATAAGTCAGTTTGCCTCTGGGTCTCCATCCTACTATCCAAGTGCATCACTCTCCTCACCCCAAGGTGCCTCCAGTCTGTCTGCTGCAGTCCAAAGTTCACAGAAGCAGTTTACCTCTACCTTCACAGGCAACTCTGGCACACAGGAAGGGCCCTCTGGTCCCATCAAATGGCAGGGAAGCACCACCTATGGTGGATCACTCCAGCCTCAAGGTACCACAAGTCAGTTTGCCTCTGGGTCTCTATCCTACTATCCAAGTGCATCACTCTCCTCCACCCAAGGTGCCTCCAGTCTGTCTGCTGCAGTCCAGAGTTCACAGAAGCAGTTTGCCTCTAGCTATGGCACCCAGTCAGGCTCCTCTAAACTATTGACCCTGCCGGGAAGCACCACTTATGGTGGGTCACTCCAGCCTCAAGATACCACAAGTCAGTTTACATCTGGGTCTCCATCCTACCATCCAAGTGTATCACCCTCCTCCCCCCAAGGTGCCTCCAGCCAGTCTGCTGCAGTCCACAGTTCAAAGAAACAGTTTACCTCTACCTTCACAGGCAACTCTGGCACACAGGAAGGGCCCTCTGGTCCCTTCAAATGGCAGGGAAGCACCACCTATGGTGGATCAGTCCAGCCTCAAGGTACCACAAATCAGTTTGCCTCTGGGTCTCCACCCTACTATCCAAGTGCATCACTCTCCTCCCCCCAAGGTGCCTCCAGTCAGTCTGCTGCAGTCCAGAGTGCACGGAAGCAGTTTACCTCTACGTTCACAGGCAACTCTGGCACACAGGAAGGGCCCTCTGATCCCTTCAAATGGCAGGGAAGCACAACCTATGGTGGATCACTCCAGCCTCAAGGTACCACAAGTCAGTTTGCCTCTGGGTCTCTATCCTACTATCCAAGTGCATCACTCTCCTCCCCCCAAGGTGCCTCCAGTCAGTCTGCTGCAGTCCAGAGTTCACGGAAGCAGTTTGCCTCTAGCTATGGCACCCAGTCAGGGTCCTCTAATCTATTGACCCTGCAGGGAAGCACCACTTATGGTGTGTCACTCCAGCCTCAAGGTACCACAAGTCAGTTTGCCTCTGGGTCTCCATCCTACTATCCAAGTGCATCACTCTCCTCCCCCCAAAGTGCCTCCAGTCTGTCTGCTGCAGTTCAGAGTTCACAGAAGCAGTTTACCTCTACCTTCACAGGCAACTCTGGCATACAGGAAAGGCCCTCTGTTCCGTTCAAATGGCAGGGAAGCACCACCTATGGTGGATCACTCCAGCCTCAAGATTCCAAAAGTCAGTTTGCCTCTGGGTCTTCATCCTCCTATCCAATTGAAACACCATCCTCACCCCAAGGTTCTGACAGTCAGTCTGCTGCAGTCCAGAGTTCATGGAAGCAGTTTGTCTCTAGCTATGGAACCCATTCAGGGTCCTCTAAGCCATTGACCCCGCAGGGAAGCACCACTTATGGACTATCACTCCAGCCTCAAGATACCTCAAGTCAGTATGACTCTGGGGCTCCATCCTCCTATAATTGTCATTGTGTACCGGTTTCCTCGCCCCGAGGTATTGCCGACCAGTCCAGCCAATCATTTCAAAGCTATTCTGGGTCCCAAAGCCAGAAGTCTCAAAGATGGCAGCCTTCACAAGGTATTCTGACCTCAGGTGCAGCTGCAGCACAGGTTGGCTCTCCAATGCAGAGTTTGTTTTCTTCCCCGTCATCAGCAGGAGGCTTTTCTTCAGAAGATGCTGGACCGTTTGTTTCTGCACAGGGTGGTAGCAGCAGATATGGTGGCCTTTCTCTTCATTCTCAACGCCCCTCTAGCAAGGACACCCCTGGGTCTCATGCATATGCAAAGCTTGGTTCCTCTCCTCTAACTGTTTCTAGCCAGTCTACCAGTGACGAGCGGTCTAATGGCCTGTATAACTCAGACTCTCTGCGAACCCAGAGTCTCATTGGTGTAGTTGAAAGACCCTCTAGACTCATCTCAAGCTCCTTCCGACTCTACAGGCAGTAACCAAATATCTGACCATTTTGTGACCATGCAACGCCCCACAGGTTCAAACCTAACTCCATTTCTAGGCTTGAGTGCCCAAGCATCAGCTGTTGGGATGTTCTCTGGTATCCCACAGACTGCACATGCTCTACGTGAATCTGGGTCCGGTGTCCAGCTATACAATAAACCATTCTTCAATCGTCTATACTCTGTGAAGGGCTAAGGGACTCTATAAAACAAACCTTATGCAAAGTGATGTCTTCCAGAATATAAAATCTAATAAATGTTTGCAAGCATTTTTTTTTCTTGTGGTGTTTTGTGTATGAGCTACATTCAAAGGATGGAACCTCAAATGTTAAAGTTTTTTCACTGATGCCAGATCTATTAATTTATTGGTTTGCCCATTTATTCAAATAAAGAATTTAGTACATGGTTGATCAAATTTAAAGTTTATTGGGTGAGTGAAAAACCATTTGAGATACTTTGCCGATAGAAATGAACAACATGTTCCCATGAGTATTCGTATTTTACCACACGTACATTATGTTTCCATAGACAATGAAACCTTACAATATTGATGTATTGACAGCACTATAAAATCAATTATTTATGTATTTGGCTTCGTACTATATTTATATTAGTACGTACTGCGCTGCCAGGTGAACACACTCTTCTTTCTCTCCCAAAATATAAGACAGTTTGTTTATGGGGCTCGCTTGTTGGAATTTAGGTACAATCTGTGCTATTTGTGTGAAATAAGCGTGATGTTTTTATACTTGCTACACTCGTTGAGGAAGTGCAGCTCGTCATCTACGGCCTCATCAGGGCAGTGTGGACAGACTTGGAGCTCTCTCTCTCTCCAACTCTGCTTGTGTCGGCCCGTCTCCACACACAGACTGTGGTCACTAATGCGATACTTAGTCAGGAGCTTTCTCTGGCCATAGTTACTGATATCAGTCAGACATGGAGCCAATTTATAATCCGACTTTATTTTGTTGAAATATTTTCATTTATTTAGTTGTGTGACCTTTATCTGCCAATCGTGTATGGATTCTTCTTTGGTTATTATCCCTATTTCTTTTACTTTTGAGTGTCTGAATTGAATAGATGAATTGAGTTGGTGTCTTCTCTCTCTCTCTCTCTCTCTCTCTCTCTCTCTCTCTCTCTCTCTCTCTCTCTCTCTTTCTCTCTCTCTCTCTCTCTCTCTCTCTCTCTATGCCTAACCATATTCATGTAACTTTCTAAGTTGGTAAAAGGTACAGGATTGTTTTTAGACGCAATAAATTCCCCCCAATTTAGCATAAACTGAGCTTTGTTCATGCATGTTGTGCCTAATCCTAAAACTTACATACCCCATATATCCGTAATTGTCTCTCTGCAGAGTTTGTATTAAATTATGACAATTAAACAAAACTATACATAAAAGTCAACCTGATGTGATCAGACACATTTTGTGTAAAGTGTATGAGAATATCCTATGCAGACAATACACAGTTACACACTTTAAAATGTTTAAACAGCACAGGGAATCAGAGCCTACACAAAACAATCATCAATTATCTTTTAAAAGCCAATTAGTTTTTCCAGGTGAACAGTGTTTCATGTAATTAGTTATTTGCCCTAATTGGACTGATGAAGGCCTATAACATACACTTATCTCCAGTTACGTTTGTTTGCAGTTGGAGTGTCAGTGTGGTGGTTTGAGAAAGTGAATGTTGGGGCTTTGGAGTACTCAGGGTTTTTTGTTTGCCATGGACAAAGGGTGGACACAGTGAGTTTATTATTTCAATCTTTGTTTTTTAAATGATTCAGCAAATATTTAATTTACTCTATGTATTTGATAGATTTACCTTTAGGTTACCCTTGTTTGTAATCTTCCTGCTCTTTTTGAGAAATACTCATGGATTTAAAGGTAAGATTTTATTTTATTTATTATCTCTCTTTTGCAAAGGATTTTAAATTGTGAGCTTTTTTTATCTACAAGTCTTATATTTTGTCCATTTCAAAGGTGGGGCTCGTTCAGATGCCCACCACTGGTGGGGCCAACCTTCATACAAAACCTTCTCACCTCGTGCAGTCCAGTCTTCTGTGTCAGAGGTCCCTGTGACTGGGATTTTGCCTGAAGAAGTGGGCTCTAGTAGGTTCACTAACAGACCCCTGAAAAGGTTGAACTTGCACCAATTTGTTAAAGGTGGTGTTTCCAGCAGCCATGGATCAATGTCCCATGCCCAGACAGCTCCAAGCAGCTCTGTTTTAGCTTCCTTGCCTCTACCCTTAAATGAACGGTATATAGGCCATTTGACATCGCTCCAGGGTTCCTCTGGCTCAGCCGCTACAGATACTACTAGTGTTTCTACACAAGGAGAAAGTAGCTTCCCTGCCATGCTTGGCACTTCTGGTCTGTCCACCAGTGATCAAAGCTCCCCTAGTTTGTACATGTCCAGCTCCTTGGAAACCTTTGGTGCTAAATCAGCAGAAGCCACTTTGCCCATGTTCTCTCAGGAGAGTATGTCTTCCAGCAGTTCATCTTCTCCAGGTGCCACGTACACTTCTCAAGGTAGCCCAGTGCTGGCTTCAGAAGGCTCTGGTCAATCCATCTCCCCTCAGGGTGAAAGTAGTTCCAGTGGCTTGTCTCAAGGGGCCTTGAGTGAATATAACCAGGACTCCAATAACATGCTCAGTTCATCTGTTTCTAGTCAGTCTACCAGTGACCAGAGTACCCCCAGTTTGTCTACTTCTAGCATTCAGGGAAGTTCAGGCAGTTTGCTGGAAGCTTCTGGCTCTTCTTTTCAAGGGGAAGTGGCAGGGGTTAGCTCTCTTGTTGACTTGTCTCCTCAATCACAAGACAACTCCATTCAGCTTCTACCCTCACCCTTGGAGGTCTCTAGCCAGTCTACTAATGGTCAAAGCACTCCCAGCTTGTTTATGCTTGGCTCTGAGAGCAGTTCAGATTCACAGTCAACAGATCCTGCTTCACCTCAAGACACTGAGGATAGTCTCTCTCAAAGCATTTCTAGCCAGTCCACAAGCGTTCAAAGTTCACCTAGTGTGTTTACAAGCACCCAGAGCAGGTCTGCCACCAAGTTAACTTCCAGTAATTTTTTTCCTGTGCAGGGAGGTAGTAGTTCTACTAGCTTATATCTGAAGCCTCAGGGCACTCTTTATGCCCCTGCGTCCCATACCAAATATGTGAGTTTTCCAATGTCATCACACCCAGCTTTTTATAGCCAGTCAAAAAGTAGCTCTGGTCCTTGGTTTGGGGGCTCTACTGGCTTTGCCACCGAGGGAATGAGTAGCGCTTACAGTGGTTCTGTCCAGCCTCAAGGTACCACAAGTCAGTTTGCCTCTGGGTCTCCATCCTACTATCCAAGTGTCTCACCCTGCAGTCAGTCTGCTGCAGTCCAGAGTTCACAGAAACAGTTTGCCTCTAGTTATGGCACCCAGTCAGGGTCCTCTAAGCTATTGACCCTGCAGGGAAGCACCACTTATGGTGAATCACTCCAGCCTCAAGGTACAACGAGTCAGTTTGCCTCTAGCTATGGCACCCAGTCAGGCTCCTCTAAGCTATTGACTCTGCCGGGAAGCACCACTAATAGTGAATCACTCCAGCCTCAAGGTACCACAAGTCCGTTTGCCTCTGGGTCTCCATCCTACTATCCAAGTGCATCACCCTCCTCCCCCCAAGGTGCCTCCAGTCAGTCCGCTGCAGTCCAAAGTTCACAGAAGCAGTTTGCATCTACCTATGGCACCCAGTCAGGGTCCTCTAAGCTATTGACTCTGCAGGGAAGCACCACTTATGGTGAATCACTCCAACCTCAAAGTACCACAAGTCGGTTTGCCTCTGGGTCTCTGTCCTACTATCCAAGTGCATCACTCTCCTCCCCCCAAGGTGCCTCCAGTCTGTCTGCTGCAGTCCAGAGTTCACGGAAGCAGTTTACCTCTACCTTCACAGGCCACTCTGGCACACAGGAAGGGCCCTCTGATCCCTTCAAATGGCAGGGAAGCACCACCTATGGTGGATCACTCCAGCCTCAAGGTACCGCAAGTCAGTTTGCCTCTGGGTCTCCATCCTACTATCCAAGTGTATCACCCTCCTCCCCCCAAGGTGCCGCCAGTCTGTCTGCTGCAGTCCAGAGTTCACAGAAACAGTTTGCCTCTAGCTATGGCACCCAGTCAGGCTCCTCTAAGCTATTGACCCTGCAGGGAAGCACCACTAATAGTGAATCACTCCAGCCTCAAGGTACCACAAGTCAGTTTGCCTCTGGGTCTCCATCCTACCATCCAAGTGTATCACCCTCCTCCCCCCAAGGTGCCTCCAGTCAGTCTGCTGCAGTCCAGAGTTCACAGAAACAGTTTACCTCTACCTTCACAGGCAACTCTGGCACACAGGAAGGGCCCTCTGGTCCCTTCAAATGGCAGGGAAGCACCACCTATGGTGGATCACTCCAGCCTCAAGGTACCAAAAGTCAGTTTGCCTCTGGGTCTCCATCCTACCATCCAATTGTATCACTCTCCTCACCCCAAGGTGCCTCCAGTCAGTCTGCTGCAGTCCAAAGTTCACAGAAGCAGTTTACCTCTACCTTCACAGGCAACTCTGGCACACAGGAAGGGCCCTCTGGTCCCATCAAATGGCAGGGAAGCACCACCTATGGTGGATCACTCCAGCCTCAAGGTACCACAAGTCAGTTTGCCTCTGGGTCTCTATCCTACTATCCAAGTGCATCACTCTCCTCCCCCCAAGGTGCCTCCAGTCAGTCTGCTGCAGTCCAGAGTTCACAGAAGCAGTTTGCCTCTAGCTATGGCACCCAGTCAGGCTCCTCTAAGCTATTGACCCTGCCAGGAAGCACCACTTATGGTGGGTCACTCCAGCCTCAAGATACCACAAGTCAGTTTACATCTGGGTCTCCATCCTACCATCCAAGTGTATCGCCCTCTTCCCCCCAAGGTGCCTCCAGTCAGTCTGCTGCAGTCCAGAGTTCAAAGAAACAGTTTACCTCTACCTTCACAGGCAACTCTGGCACACAGGAAGGGCCCTCTGGTCCCTTCAAATGGCAGGGAAGCACCACCTATGGTGGATCACTCCAGCCTCAAGGTACCACAAGTCAGTTTGCCTCTGGGTCTCTATCCTACTATCCAAGTGCATCACTCTCCTCCCCCCAAGGTGCCTCCAGTCAGTCTGCTGCAGTCCAGAGTTCACGGAAGCAGTTTGCCTCTAGCTATGGCACCCAGTCAGGGTCCTCTAATCTATTGACCCTGCAGGGAAGCACCACTTATGGTGCGTCACTCCAGCCTCAAGGTACCACAAGTCAGTTTGCCTCTGGGTCTCCATCCTACTATCCAAGTGCATCACTCTCCTCCCCCCAAGGTGCCTCCAGTCTGTCTGCTGCAGTCCAGAATTCACAGAAGCAGTTTACCTCTACCTTCACAGGCAACTCTGGCACACAGGAAAGGCCCTCTGTTCCGTTCAAATGGCAGGGGAGCACCACCTATGGTGGATCACTCCAGCCTCAAGATCCCAAAAGTCAGTTTGCCTCTGGGTCTTCATCCTCCTATCCAATTGAAACACCATCCTCACCCCAAGGTTCCGACAGGCAGTCTGCTGCAGTCCAGAGTTCATGGAAGCAGTTTGTCTCTAGCTATGGCACCCAGTCAGGCTCCTCTAAGCTATTGACCCTGCCAGGAAGCACCACTTATGGTGGGTCACTCCAGCCTCAAGATACCACAAGTCAGTTTACATCTGGGTCTCCATCCTACCATCCAAGTGTATCGCCCTCTTCCCCCCAGGGTGCCTCCAGTCAGTCTGCTGCAGTCCAGAGTTCAAAGAAACAGTTTACCTCTACCTTCACAGGCAACTCTGGCACACAGGAAGGGCCCTCTGGTCCCTTCAAATGGCAGGGAAGCACCACCTATGGTGGATCACTCCAGCCTCAAGGTACCACAAGTCAGTTTGCCTCTGGGTCTCTATCCTACTATCCAAGTGCATCACTCTCCTCCCCCCAAGGTGTCTCCAGTCAGTCTGCTGCAGTCCAGAGTTCACAGAAGCAGTTTGCCTCTAGCTATGGCACCCAGTCAGGCTCCTCTAAGCTATTGACCCTGCCGGGAAGCACCACTTATGGTGCGTCACTCCAGCCACAAGGTACCACAAGTCAGTTTGCCTCTGGGTCTCCATCCTACTATCCAAGTGCATCACTCTCCTCCCCCCAAGGTGCCTCCAGTCTGTCTGCTGCAGTCCAGAGTTCACAGAAGCAGTTTACCTCTACCTTCACAGGCAACTCTGGCACACAGGAAAGGCCCTCTGTTCCGTTCAAATGGCAGGGAAGCACCACCTATGGTGGATCACTCCAGCCTCAAGATCCCAAAAGTCAGTTTGCCTCTGGGTCTTCATCCTCCTATCCAATTGAAACACCATCCTCACCCCAAGGTTCCGACAGGCAGTCTGCTGCAGTCCAGAGTTCATGGAAGCAGTTTGTCTCTAGCTATGGCACCCAGTCAGGCTCCTCTAAGCCATTGACCCCGCAGGGAAGCACCACTTATGGACTATCACTTCAGCCTCAAGATACCTCAAGTCAGTATGACTCTGGGGCTCCATCCTCCTATAATTGTCATTGTGTACCGGTTTCCTCGCCCCGAGGTATTGCCGACCAGTCCAGCCAATCATTTCAAAGCTATTCTGGGTCCCAAAGCCAGAAGTCTCAAAGATGGCAGCCTTCACAAGGTATTCTGACCTCAGGTGCAGCTGCAGCACAGGTTGGCTCTCCAATGCAGAGTTTGTTTTCTTCCGCATCATCAGCAGGAGGCTTTTCTTCAGGAGATGCTGGACTGTTTGTTTCTGCACAGGGTGGTAGCAGCAGATATGGTGGCCTTTCTCTTCATTCTCAAAGCCCCTCTAGCAAGTACACCCCTGGGTCTCATGCATATGCAAAGCTTGGTTCCTCTCCCCTAACTGTTTCTAGCCAGTCTACCAGTGACAAGCGGTCTAATGGCCTGTATAACTCAGACTCTCTGCGAACCCAGGGTCTCATTGGTGTAGTTGAAAGACCCTCTAGACTCTCATCTCAAGCTCCTTCCGACTCTACAGGCAGTAACCAAATATCTGACCATTTTGTGACCATGCAACGCCCCACAGGTTCAAACCTAACTCCATTTCTAGGCTTGAGTGCCCAAGCATCAGCTGTTGGCATGTTCTCTGGTATCCCACAGACTGCACAGGCTTTACGTGAATCTGGGTCAGGTGTCCAGCTATACAATAAACCATTCTTCAATCGGCTGTACTCTGTAAAGGGCTAAGGGACTCTATAAAACAGAAACCTTATGCAAAGTGATGTCTTCCAGAATATAAAATCTAATAAATGTTTGCAAGCATTTTTTTCTTGTCCTGTTTTTTGTATGAGCTACATTCAAAGGATAGAACCTCAAATGTTAAAGTTTTTTCACTGATGCCAGATCTATTAATTCATTGGTTTGCCCATTTATTCAAATAAAGAATTTAGTACATGGTTGATCAAATTTAAAGTTTATTGGGTGAGTGAAAAACTATTTGAGATACTTTGCCGATAGAAATGAACATGTGCCCATGAGTATTCGTATTTTACCACACGTACATTATGTTTCCATAGACACTGAAACCTTACAATATTGATGTATTGACAGCACTATAAAATCAATTATTTATGTATTTGGCTTCGTACTCTATTTACTAGTATGAACAACTTTACAGGCTTACAAATGTGTACAAATCCTTATTTATAAATATTAAAATTGTGGCATTAATATCTCAATTATATTGTATTCAATTGCAGTTGGATCAAAACATGAGAATTGAATTTCTCATGGACGGTACAGTGTGTTTGCACTGTAAACTACCTTTGGACATAATGTCTTCTGCTTTGCATCAGTACACGACTGGAACATACTACAAAATACCCTGAAACTTACATGTCTGATCCCAATCTCCACCTTTAAGCAAAACCTCGCAAATTACATAGTTGACTCTTGTTCCTGCTGACAATCATGAACCATATTTAGACACATATTTAAGCACTCCATTCGTTTTCTTTTTCCTCTTTGTTGTCTTTTTTTATTTTTATTTAGCTGCTTGTTCTAAGTGTTGTGTTTGACTATGTACAGCTGTACATTATGTTCTTATTTTTTCCTGTAGCCTCTTGGCCAGGTCATGTTTGTAAATGAGAAGTGGTTCTCAAACATTTTACCTGGATAAATAAAGGTTAAAAAATAATAATAATAATAATAATTTTCAAAACTTGACAAGCTATAATCCATTAATGGTGATGGGCGCTCCATTTCCAACAATCTCTGCCTACTGTTTACCATTAACAACTGACTGGGTCATTTAACCAATCGCCGCAGATTCGTGTCACTCAAAGGATGCCCAGATTCATGCCCAGACCGCTCCAAGCAGCTCTGTTTTAGCTTCCTTGCCTCTACCTTTAAATGAACGGTATGCAGGCCGTTTGACATCGCTCCAGGGTTCCTCTGTAGTAGTAATATGATGGTGCTTCTGTCAAAATGATTGATGGCCCTATAGTTAATGATGATTGATGGCCCCTGTGCCCTTGGGTTGACCTTAATGGCAAACCGTTTGAACTTTTATTCATTTCCAGATATGAATTCTTGATATCAAAAAAATAAATTGTTTATCAAGAATTTAATTGCTGATATCTGTTATTGCATTTTCAAAGTGAAATGTCACTATAGGTTGCCATTCAAAATCAATTGTTGATATCAAGAATAGATTTTTTACTAGTAGAAATATCATAAATATCATTTTTGATATCAATAATTACATTTTTACTAGTAAAAATGTGACTTCATGGTATCAAGAATTAAATTGTCATTAGTTTATGGAAAGCCCTTTGAGCATTTATTCGATATCCTACAAGTACGCATTTATTTCATCATACTAGTAAGACTTTTGTTCAAACTAGTTCGACAACTAGAGACCAAAAGTCTCAACTAGTTGGCTTTTTGATGAACTAGTGGCCATCTGGGCCAAACTAGTAAAGCACAAAAGCGTACTAGTTAGGTAGTGAGCAGCAAAACCTTTAACATGTTAACTAGTCAAACGTAAATTCGGCTTAAAGTTAACTAGTGGATGGCAAATTTCTGCACTAGCATTTTGGCCCTCACTAGTTAACTAGTGAAGCCCAAAATGTCCACTAGATAACTAGTTGACACGTGTTGGAACTTACTAGTTAACTAGTAAGGCAAAAATTGTCCTATTTAACTAGTACAAGCTAAAGCATAAAGAAGATATTTTGATAGATACCCATTTAATGAAAATGGGTTCAAAATAACATTAACTTTATTTGTACAAAAAAAACAACAACTGAGACTCATATTAAAAATCTGTTGTGTTTCACAGAAGAAGAAAGTCAAAGGTTTGGAGACACATGAGGTTAGTAAATGAAGTGTAATTTTTCGGGGGTGAAATATCACCAGTCTGACCCTATAGCACCACCAGCTGTTAGTTATAGAGAATCTGAAGTTGTTTGATTGACGTGTGTACAGTACATTATGATTGTAAAGCTTCGTTATGTAGGTACAAATCGTTCTGTAACTGTGTATAAAACTAGTTTTAATTTCTTGAAATGATGAAAATCAATCAGGAAAAAAAATCAACAACCTTTTTTCTCTATTAAGACAAGACTAAACTGACTTTATGCAATCTTGTAAATGGAAAAAAGAAAATAGGTTGAACATCTAAAACCATAAAATTTGTCTTTTTTCCAGAAGAGGTCTGTAGGTGTGAAAGTTTTTTGCAGAGAGTAAAAAGCCTCTGTATTTCCTCTTTACTTAAAAAAGCAGCTCTTTGTAACACACTGTTTTCCAGTTCATAACCACAATGGTATTAGGTGGAGGGATAATTTACATCTCTCTTAAAGGGCTCATCGCTGAGGGATACTGTCTGGGCAATGTGCTGGTGATCTGGCCCGTGTGGAGGAGCGGAGCCCTGAACCAAACCCCTTTCTGCTTGATCGTGTCTCTGGCGATGGCAGATTTTGTCGGGGCCGAGGCCATTCATCCGGCTGTGGTTGTAGATGTCCACGTGAAGATCCCTTTCCATGTCTGTCTGTTCATCCGCTGTGTCCTGATCGTCCCGCAACAAGTATCAGTGCATCAGATCACCCTTCTGGCCACTGCTGTGGATCGTTGCCTGCGGTTTGTCTCCCATTCGCCTTATTCACCTAGTGGCCATTTTGAGTAAGGCGAATTCAGGTGAGTCAGCCTACGGATGATTTTGAATGGCTTTAATGAACATCAAGCTTGTTGAAAACAAAAACAGCTTCTTTTTTATCTTTAAATTAATGTAAACAATTTAGGTGTGCTTAGTCATAGCCAATCAGCAAATATAGGCAGTGTTGTGCCTGAACGCGTTCATATTTTGGGCGAACGTGAACTGAATTGTATTACTGCTGCCTGATGAACTTTGTACAATAGGGTGCCATGTTTCTATACAGACTTCCAGGCGAAAACCCGGCTAAAACACACGTTAGGTCTTAATATGTAGCGGGAAAAAACACCCAATCTGGCAACACAAGACACAGTGTTGCGTCGCGGCCGTCTTCGACAAAGCAGCGAGCGATGAGGCGTCGTATGATCATTTAAACAGGTTTTATGACAAGGTCGGTGAGGATAGGAAAAATATTATGTTTCTGTGCAAACTTTGCCCGTTGATAAAATAATTGTTGTCTGTGGTTGTATATGGGCTGTGGCAATAATTATAAAAAAGAAGCTCGCAATATATGAACTAGTTCATTTTTTGAAGTATGATCTATGAACTGAACTAGTTCATTTTAAAAGGAGTAAACTGAACTTTGAACTAGTTCATGTAGAAAGTGAACTTTCCCAACAGGGCGTGTTCATGATAGGTGAGGAGAGAGTGAGCAAGAGGGAGATATGAAGAAAGACAGACTGAGAGACATTACAAACAAGAAAAGAGCTGATCAAAGAGCTTTAGGACTTTGCAGGACTTTAAGTAGTAGGAGCATTTTTAATTACTCGCACTCGATCGCGTCTCGACTCCCCCTGCCATTTTCTACCGCAGCAGAGCACACACGCGACAAATGGCGTCAGAAAAGTGTCCGTACATTATAATCGGTTATGGTCCACTGAACCGATATAACTAATCGTCCTCGTCTGCGATGCATCGTAGAAACGATTAATTTCGACACAATAAATATTTACAAATGTGAATGAATGACAGTAGACGCACCTGTAGCTGCATTTGCTCCCGGGACGGGTTTGGGCTCAGGTCAGTCAGTTTGAGACTGGATTAACTGGAAATCGGCGTAAGCTCGTGACTGGATTGTCCCAGCATAATTGATAACTCAGATCGGATAGACTTGGATCAAGCGATGAATCGGGGCTGAGTGAACCTGACTGGGAACCACGGTAAGATGGACCTGAGAAGGGTAATGGGTCAGAACTGAGTGAGATGGACCTGGGTACAGTATGGATGAAGACTCCAAGATCATGATCAGCGAGTCCCCGGAGAGGACAAATATTCATGGCTGTAGAACTGCTGGACGTCCCAGTAACAGTCCTCTCACTGTGTCGTTCTGTAACAACAAAGAGCGGAAAACTTATAGTCTCCCATGTTCGCTGGGTGAGGCCCTGTTTACACGAGAACGCTCGCGGGTGAAAACGTAAAAATATTTTATTGGATGCCTTTCGTTTACACGGCAAAGGCGTTTTTGAGGCTCAAAAACGCAAAAAAGTGAAACCACCCTCCAGAGTGGAAATCTTAAAAACGCTCCACCACCGCGTTCCCACGTAAACGGTAAAAACGCAAAAGTCTGCTTGACGGTGAAAGTTGTACGCAGGCGTGTGGACTTGGTGTTGTTGTAGTATGCACTCCTAGCCACCTGAAGTGCATACTACATTGAATTTCACACACTTTTGCGTCTCCATTTGCACGCATATTTCCCAAACAAAACGCTCATCTAAACGCAGAATAAAAAAAATGAAGCAACGACACTTTTGCGTTTTCTCTTCAGAATCGTTTCCGTGTAAACATAGCCTGAATGAACTGATGTCATTCTTCACCCTCCTTTTTGATCGTTTTTCTAAAAAAAAAAGGAAAAAAAGGAAAAATAAATTAAATTACACCACACCAACTTCGGACAGAACAAAGACGACTAAAGCAAATCATGTTAATGCAAAAAAACGGCAAAAGGTCATGGACTCATAATAGCTTGTGACTGGCTTGTGAAATGGCTTCTGAAATTAGAAAAAAATGTGGGGCGGGGCTTGATTTCGTCCCTAAGGAATTGATTGGATGGTTGCAGGTTGGGCGTTGCAAACAAAATTAAGGGCAGATTTGAATGCGATTCTCTGAGA